TAATGCAGTATTCAGAGACTCATCTGACATCCATCTTGATCTTTTCCTCTTCTGTCTTTGTAATCTTTTGCATTCTTCATTGACGATATTCTTGTTATCCTCCCACAGCTCATTCGGTCTTCATTCATTGGTGTTTAAGGCCTTAAACCTGTTCCTGAGATGGTTTTGAAATTCAGGTTGGATAAACTTAAGTTCAAATTTTGGTTCCTGTGGATTTTATTTTCTTCAGCTTCAGCTTGAACTTGCATATGAGTAGTTGGTGGTCTGTTCCACAGTCAGCACCTGGCTTGGTTTTCACAGCTGATATTGAGCTTCTCCAGCAAGTCTTTTCACAGATGTAATCGATTTGATTCCTATGCAAACCATCAGGTGACATCCACATACACACTGTTATTTAGAGAAATCTTTCAAAGTATGTGGCACTTGACTTCTAGAAGATGAAAGCAGAGTTAGAAACATAGAGGGTGGGAGGAAAGGTATACTGGGTTTATGTAACAATATGAGTAAAACCATTTGAGTGGGAACAAGCCAGCCATGTAGATCAGACTGTTTAGGTTAGGTTCATAGTAAAATATTAAAATAAGTTTGCGTGGGATGATATTAAGTAGAGTCTTAAAAACTTGGAAGAAAGGGGAGCTCTGGTGGGCTAGTGGCAAGAAGCTGCACTGCAATCCCAGAGGAACACGGTTCGAATCCACCAGACGCTCTGCCGGAGAAGGAGGCGCAATATCCTCCTGTACCAGTCAGATCTGATTTGACGGTACACGCACACAAAATTAAAAAAAAAAAAAAAAAAACTTGGAAGAAGATTTTGTATGTGATATAGTGAGCAGATTTTTTTGCTTTTGCTTAAAAACCTTTTTGAGCAGTATAGAAATAACATGACATGCTTATTTGGTTGGTTGGCTGTTCATTCGTACAGATAGTCCCTGGGTTATGAATATCTGACTTACAAAAACCTAGAGTTATGGAGCAACTCTCATAACAAATAGTTTCTACTTTGCAGTGTGCATCAGAACATTGCTGTTATTACTACTACTATTATTATTATTATTATTATTAAAGGAGTTCTGGTATATCTTGAAGTATTTCTTCAATGTTTTATGAATAGAAAGGTATACTGTATAGTAAGACATTTGACTAATAGATACAAACTGCATCTAACTGTTTCACCCTACATACAAATGTGACTTATAGGTATATTTATACCGGAACTCATTGGTAATCTAAGGACTGAGAGATAAGTATTGAGATATAATTCACATAATAAAATTCATACTTTTAAAGTGTATAATTTTTTAAAAAGTGTTAATTCAATAATTTATTTTCTGTGTATGAATTTGCCTATTCTAGAATTTTCCTAAAAATGAAATTATAAAGGAAACCTATCTAGATTCTTCAGTACAATATTGACTATCAGTGGTGAGAATGCACACTCCTGTTCTGTTTTAGAGGCGAGGCTTAATCTTTCACTATTAAGCATGATGTTATTTGTAAGATCTTTGTAAATGTGTTTTATCAGGTTTGAGGAAGTTTCCTTCTATTATTGGTCTAAGTGTTTCTATTATGAAACACGTTTTTCTTTTTATCCATATGTTAAAATTATCATGGTGGGGTTTTTCCTTTTATTAATAAGTTATATTACATTAATTTTTGTATGTTGAACCAGCCTTACATTCCTCATATTCACTTGTGGTGTAGTATAATTTTTTCCCATTTTAACTTTATTATTAGTTCTCTTTTTGGCCTGTTTTTACTGTTTTGCTTACAAAGTTCGTATACATTGTGTTTCATACCATCACTCTTGTGCATTATATTTTATGAAATTAATCACCATTGGGCCTTGCCCGTAATTACCCTCTCTTCTAACCTGGATCCTTCCCATTTCCTTCCCCCACCCCCCTCCATTCATCAAACTGTGCCATCCTATGGTTTTGCCCTACCCATCCTCACCCCTCTGCTCTCAGCACCTCAATTCAAAGGCATTTTTCTTTTGATTTCCTGACTGCTGATGCCAAGAGTGTTGATTGTGGAACCAAGCAATCTGTAATTGTTAACAATCTCAATCTCTTTTCCATCCATCATGGTGCTGCCAGTGGGCCCAGTGGTGAGAATCTTTGTCTTTTTGATATTGAACTTCAATACATATTGAAGACTGCAGTCCTTGAGCATCTATAGCAAGCCCTTTGGGTCCTCCTCAGTTTCAGCAAGCAAAATTGTCATCTGCATAACACATGTTGTTGGTGACTCTTCCTCCAATCCTAATGCTACATTCCTGTTCATAAAGCCCTGCCTCCTGAATGATCCATTCCATGTATAAATTGAAAAGATAATGAAGACAGGACACATCCCTAATGCACTCCTTTCCTGATTTTGAACTATGCAATGTTTCCTTGCTCTGTTTTGAGGATTGCTTCCTGATCTGAGCACAATGAGTTTCTTCCTAGTTTCTCATGAGCACAGTCAAGTGTTCTAGGATTCCCATTCTCCTCAAGATTAGCCAGAATTTGTTTTGAACTACATAGTCAAATGCTTTTGCATAGACTTCCTCTGGTACTCTCTACTTTCTGCCAAGATCCATCTGACATTGGTGATAATGTCTACTGCCACGACCTTTTCTAAACCCAGCTTGTATTTCTTGTAGTTCTCTGCCAATGTGCTATTCTAGGTGTTTCTGGATAATCTTCAGCAGGATTTTGCATAGTCAATGAAACACAGATAGACATTCCTCTGTATTCTCTGCTTTAGGCTAAGATCCTTCTAATGTTGACTGCAATATCCCTAGTGTAACAGCCTCTTCTAAACCCAGCCTGCACACCTGGCCGATCTCTGCTGATGTTCTCTTCCAGTCATTTTTTTTATATAATCTTCAGGATTTTGTTTGCATGTGATATGAGTCATATTATTCAATAATTTTCCACACTCTATCAGATCACCTTTTTTTGAAATGGGGATAAATCTGGTTCTCTTCCAGTCAGTTGGCCAAGTGGTTGTTCTCCAGATTTCTTGGCACAACCTGGTGGGCACGTCCAGGGCAACATCTGTTTGTTGAAATAAGTCAGTTGGTATTCCATCAATTTCTGGGACCTTATTTTTTGCCATGTCCTTCAAAGCAGCCTGAACGTCCTCGTTCATCACCATTACCTCTTGATCATATGTTGTTTTATGAAATCTTCTGTGTCAACCAATTCTTTTTAGGAAAGTGACTCTATATTCTCCTTCCATCTTCTTTTAATGCTTTCTGGATCGTTCAATATTAATTATGCACATAGCATCCTTAAGTACTGCAACTCACAGCTTGAATTTGTTCTTTAGTTCCTTCAGCTTAAGAAATGTCAAGTGAGTTCTTTTTTTTTTTTTTCTACTCCAGCTCCTTGGACATTTCATTGTAATACTTTGCTTTGTCTTCCTGAGCTGTCCTTTGAAATCTTCTATTCAGCTCTTAGCTTCTTGATCTCTCCCCTTTGCTTTGGCTTCTCAGTGCTCTAGTGCAATATTCAGTCACTTCTGACATCCATTTTGGTCTTTTCTTCTTTCTTTGTTTTTATAATTACCTTTTGCATTCTTCATGGACAATATTTTTTATATCTTCTCACAGCTCATCTGGTCTTTGTTAATATTCAAGGTTCAAGTGGAACTTTCTAAAATTTTTCAGTGCCTACTAATTCTTTTTGGTACAGTGACTCTGTGTATTCCTTCCATCTTCTTATGATGCTTCCTGGGTCATTCAAGGTTTTGCCTATAGCACTTCTTAGTGTTGTAACTTGAAGCTTATGACGTTTTTATTTTCTTTTTTGTTTTCTTTCTCATTTCTAAATTCTCTGAAATATGAATTTATTGCCTTTATAATTAGATATATGGCCAAATGTTTTGAAAATCTAATCTGACATTTATATGCAAGATAGATTAGAAGGAGAAAATTAGGATGGCAGCTAAAACAAAGAGGGAAAAGTATATCTAAATAATATTTTATAAAAATAATTTTTGGAAAAAAAATTTTTGGTGTGAAATATATATAATACAACACTATTTCAACCATTTTTACATATATTACATGTATATAGTGTGATTTACATGATATTCACATGTTGTACAACTATTACCACTTTTGTTGTGTACCATAAAGTCGGAACTAGCACATAGCTGAGCCTTTGGCAGGTTTTCAGAGGCAATTAATCACAGGAAGAGATTGCCCATCCTTCTCCCGTGGCCTCAAACCACATGCCTTTGGGATTGCAGTGCAGCCTCTTACCACTAGGCCACCAGAGCTCCCTGTGATTAAAATTATTTTCGTCATTTGAAACTCTCTTAAGGAACACTTCATTTTCCTCTCAAACCTGCCCTTGGAACCTACTAATAAACTTTAGTCTGTATACATTTGCCTGTATTATATAAGGGAGCTCTTGTGGCTTAATAGTAAGGAGTTGTGCTGTCAACTCAAAGGCATGTTGTTCAAATCAACTAGCCACTCCTCAGAAGAAAGATGGTCAGTCTCCTTCTGGGTGATTTACTGCCTCTGAAAACCCACTGGAGGTTCAGCTATGAGTTGGTTCCAACTTGATGGTATATAACAACAGCATTCTAGAGATTTCATGTCATTCCATGTATGTTGACGATGATTGCTAGATAAAGGGTTGTCTCTGGTAGGTAGTGAGACATACAGGTGAAGTTTAGCTTGTTTTTTAAATTAACACAAGTTAATTTTCCCTCAGATTTATGATAATTACAAGTGTTTTTACTCATTGACATCAGTAAAAATTAGAGGCCTTACTGATTGTATCCTATATTCATGATATATCTGTTTCATTTTCCTTGAATAGTAGTACTGCATACAATAACTGATTAGCAAGTGGTATTCTTCACTTTGTTTTACTTTGCTTAGAGTTCTCTTCCTTTTAGTTGTTGTTGCTCTTTCAATTTTTCTTATTGAAAACTACTTAAAAAAACAAAATATATTTCTTATCTGATTAAGATTTACTTCTTTTTCCTGTCAATTTTAGGCAATGAACATTTTGACTTCAGTATTGCTTCTCTATGCAAAAGAGGAAGAAGCATTTTGGCTTCTGGTTGCTGTGTGTGAACGAATGTTACCGGATTATTTTAATCGGCGAATCATTGGTAAGAAATACACACACATTTTAAAAACAAAATCTGTGACTCCTGTATTTAGTATCCAAATAAACTGAAGAACTGATGAATTAGGTTATGAAATATGCAAAATGTAAGCAGTATTAAAATATCACCTTCATTGGTATGCTTTAAGACCTTTTTGTGGTAAGAGTTGTTAACTTTGTGTCATCAAGTAAATTCTCACTGTGACCTGATGTGACAGAGTAAAATTGCTCATAAATCTTTCTTGATTGTAATCTTTACAGAATCAGGTCGCCAGATATTTCTGCTGCAATAAGTCATTCAGACTGCCCACCTTTATGGTGGTAATTGTTGTTGGGTACCATAAAATCGGAACTGACCCATAGTTGACTCTCCGGCGAGTTTTCAGAGGCCTGGAAGGAGATTACCCATCTTTCTCCTGCAGAGAAGCTGGTGGATTTGAACTGTTTGTTTTTGGGATTGCAGCACAGCTTCTTGTTACTAGGCCACCTGAACTCCCTAACCTTTTGGTGCTGGTTGTTGTTAAGTGCCATCAAGTCATAGAAGACTCATAGCAACACTATGAACGAAAAGACCTGAACCCTGTGGTGTCATAGTTTCTCTAAATTCATAGAGTTTCTGTAGGCAAGCTGTTTGAGAAGTGAATGCCACTCCTGCTTCCATAGCAACAAAATATTTAACTTGTGCCATGAACACTCCTTTTAATTGAGTATATTTGATTTTAAAGATTGTTTAATATCATTTTCAAGCAGAGTTCTTGGTCTTAACAAAATTTAATTTTTTTGTGTGTGTGTTTTTTAAATTTTTTAAAATTTTATTATTTTTGTGTGCGTGTACCGTCAAATCAGATCTGACTGGTACAGGAGGAGATTGCTCCTCCTTCCCCGGCAGAGCATCTGGTGGATTTGAACCATGCACCTCTGGGATTGTAGTTGCAGCTTCTTGCCACTAGGCCACCAGAGCTCCCCTAATTTTTATATTTCTCAACTCAAGCTCTCACTCATTGCTGTCTAGTTGGAACCAACTTATAACTGACCCTCCAGTGTGTTTCTGAGGCTATAAATTGCATAAGGGAAGACGGCCCATCTTTTTCCCACAGAACCACAGATGAATTCAAACAGCCAGAGAGATTCTTCCTTTGTGAACCTCTCTATAGACTGGGCTACCCATTATTGCTAAAATGATGGTCTAAAGTTTCTAGAGTGCTTCTTTATAGGTTTGTTGTTGCTGATTGTTGTCGAGTCAAACATGACTCATAGTGATTCTATGAACAAAAGACCTAATGTCTTTCCATAACTATCATCATTTCTCTAAGTTCATAGAGTTTCCAGAGGCATGTGGTTTAGGAAGTGGACTCCTACTCCTGCTTCCAAACCTGTTTTAAACCTGGGAGCTCCACCAAACAATTTCCACATTGGGATACCATTACGGTATTTGATACCCCAATGGCACAAGGGGTAACCCAGGTTACTTCATACAGCACATTGACAAAGAGTGATGTACAAAGTGGAGAGTGTTCCTCCAGATACTAAATAGGCCATTTATAAATTAACTAAGACAACTGAGAACATTTTGCTATAGGTCATACAACCTTAAGAAGCAATCCTCAAGAATAAAGACACCATCAACATACAGGAATTGCAACAGCAAGCCAGCTTAAAACCCTCACATTTATACAAATTATGTAATTATTTGCAAAATCAAAAAAGAAGGTTCAAATTCTTGGTTGCTAACATTGTATTAATATCTTCAGCATTCAGATATTTATAATCTATGATTTCTTACCTCAAAAACGAGATAAAAGGCCTATAGACTAGCACTTTGTCTATTACAGTGTACAGGTTAGGAACCACAAGATGTAGAGGCTCAGCTATGTCATTTATGTTTCTTAAGTCCTGGAGCAAATTCCATCTACCACTGGGCTGTTTTACAACTCGGAAGTTCACATGCAAGGTAGAGGTGAAGTAAGAAACTGCTTATGAGG